ACTGTTCAAGTTAAGAGTTTTGAGCTGCATGCTTAGTCGATTATACTGTGTGTGTGTGTGTATATATATACATATATATATATATATGTCCTAGTCTTGAGCTGCATGCTTCAGTGTACTCCTGTTCTGATAATGGTGAAGCTTTCAAAATGAACTTGGTTGGTATAGTTTACTTCTCTTTTGTCCTTAAAATCTATCTTCGCAATATATCTAGTGTGTTTGGGTGCAAGGCTACGTCCTGGAGATTTACTTTTAGTTTCGGAATCAAGATGAAACAGTCCTAACCCGAACTTTAGTTTCAGTAGCATCAGAACATGCACATAAAAGATACTTCAATCCCCATTCACTGAGGTTCTAATTGATCTGATAAACAGGTATCACAAAAATGACAAATAAATTGTCCCAGAATGCTACAAATAGTCATTAAGGTTTTTTAGCCTCTGCTGTAGTATTTAAAATTGAAACAAATAGTGGGCCTTTTTCCCATTTATTTAACATTAATCGATAAAAGTTATTTCCAATGTATACCTACTCACCAAACCACATTCCGGATTCCTCCACAGGGGTCCAGTTTCCGAATACATAAACCGAGTAAAACCCATCATCCGGAAGCTACTAGAGACATTGCTCAATGGCATCAACGTGACTCAAATCGACGAGGCAAAAGAATCCGCCCTGATGGGCACCCTCCTCACCACCCTTCTCCACTACCCCAAGTGCCCGAACCCTGAGCTGGCAGCCGGGGCCGGGCCCCACTCAGACATCTCGTCCCTAACCATACTCTTACAAGACGATGTTGGCGGGCTCTACGTACGACTATCTGGGACCACTGATGAGTGGGCCCACGTCACACCAGTCGATGGCTCTCTCGTCGTGAACATCGGGGACGTGCTTGAGATAATGAGCAACGGGAGGTACAAGAGTGTTGAGCACCGGGTGTTTGTGGACGGGAGGAGGGATAGGGTTTCAGTGCCCGTTTTTGTGAACCCGTCGGCCAATGCCGTCATTGGCCCGTTACCGGAAGTGATGGAGGATGGGGAAAAGCCGATGTATAGACGTCTTGTTTACTCGGATTATTTCGGTTATTTCTTTAGTAAAGGGCATGACGGCAAACGAACGATTGATTTCGCAAGGGTGTGATTTGCCTTTTTGTTTCTTGTGTTGTAATGTTGTTGTTCAGGACAAAAACCTTCTTTTTATGTGTGTGATATTGTGTGTTTAATCGGATGGTAGAGATCCTTGAATTTTGGTGGTGTGTTTGTTGCCCGCTTTTGTGACCGTTAGATGTGAGGAAGGTTTGATGCGAGTAAGATCGGATTGGTGTTGCATCTCATTTGTCTTGTGTTATTCACATTTCTTGCCAATTGCCTGTTTAAGCTTTTCGTCGACCTTCACCCGAATGTCTACCAAGACAATAACAGATTTTTTATTTTTTTTTTATTTTTTTATTATTTTTATTTTTTTAAACTTACTTGAAGATTATTCATGATCTAATAATGGGAAGTTTCTTTTAAGAACAAGTTAAAAAATGTTAACATCAAAGGGGATGTAGCTCAAATGGTAGAGCGCTCGCTTTGCATGCGAGAGGCACGGGGTTCGATCCCCCGCATCTCCATTTCTTTTATTTTTTTTTCATATATGAAACTTACTACTTCCAAAAATTTTAATTTTGTTTGTGAGCCTGCCTGTGACCCAGTCTTCATCTTCACATCTTTCTTATTTTTGGTATGATCTTGTGAATGATCTTTATGAACATTATGTTTTCTCCTTCTCCCCGCATCTCCATTTCTTTTATTTTTTTATATATGAAACTTATTACTTTCAAAATTTTTAATTTTGCTCCAGTCTCCATCTTCACATCTTTCTCATTTTTGGTATGGTCTTGTGAATGATCTTTATGAACATTATGTTTTCTCCTTCTCGTTTTTTCATGGATGGCGCCGATATTTTCCTATAAGATCAAATTTGGAGTTTGACATTGTTATGTTTCATATAACACTTTATTGATATCCTATATTGTTTTGAGAAGGAATTTGCCAAGACAGATTCAAACTTTGATGTTTATTATATTATTCAAGAATTAAATTGCCATGATCACACTTTTATCCTTTCTCGTGCTGTTTTGGAGGCTTACCAAAGAAGGCGAAAAAATCGACTAGTTGATATTGATGCAGCAGATGTGGACGATGAAGTAGCTGCGATCGAACGTGTTGAAGATATACAAGTTCTATAAGTTAAACCTAGTTTATCATAATTTTTTTCTTTTATTGCAAATAGGCTACCTAAAATAACAAGCTTAAGGATGGCAGAGTCCATGATTACATGGAGAGGTTATAACTTTAAAATGAGAGCCATTTTCGTTAAAGTTCACAAGATATTTAAAATGATGCCTCAATGCCTCTACCTAACAACCAACAGAGTCGACAGGCACCAGAGATCAGAAAACGTTAAACTTATTATTATTATTGTAATGTAATTCTTTCGATCGTTCATATAATGGGATCCAAGCTCTAAAATCTCCTAAACTTCTTTTCGAGACATTTTCAGGTGAGTGAATTCATAGCCATGTTAGACAACGGTTATTCCAGAGAACAAGTTTTTCTCGTGGAAAAAGCGATTCTTCGAATTTATAGAACTGGAACTCATACACATCAAGAGCCTACTCGTAATTTCGGTTAATTAGTAGGTTCGTTTGTGTACAAGTTTGAAAGACCTCAAGGACTGTCCCCATTGAGTTATTCGGGTCTTTTTCAGCGTACAATAATCCCTCGAAGCTTTCTGCTTCTGCAGTGTTCGCTGCTTGTTGCACTCTGAATTGGACTGAGACACTCGAGCACTATACTGGCTACTGTGGGGATCAGCTTTCGTACGTTAGAAACTATTTCTCTCTCATTTTATTGTACCCTCATTTATGTAATAATTTCCTTCTCTTTTCTAATGCATGCATTTACTTTTTGCCGGGAATGAAAGCCAACTCGGGCTTAACGGAATACATGATCAGAGCTGTTCCGAGGAAATACTCTAATCCGGAGAGATCGGCTGTAGCTATGTTTCCTGCAGTTACAACAAGTCTTGTGTTTCCAGATAATTTTGCTGTGATCTTAGTGTTCTTTTAGCTTTTGCTAATGAAGTTTGTTAGTTCCATATCGTTTTGTATATATCCTCCACATTTTGATTGGCTTTATGACACATTTAACTCTGCAATTTTCTTTCACCAAAAAAAAAAAAAAAAAAAAAAAAAAAAAAAAACCATGTCCCGTCCGAGGAATTTGATTTAAATATTAAGGTACAAGTTACAACATTCTTTCTAGATTCCAATCATTAAACAACACAATTTCATTCGACTTTATGAATATAACAAGAAATAATACACGTTTAGAAACATATGTCACAAGGAAAACCATAACTTAACATGACAACTCCAACAATAAAAAGCGGATTCTATCACGGGTCGACTGCATTCACCTTCACCTTAGCGCCACAGCATCCCGGGCCCTTCACCGCCACAATCGGGCCGGGCCCATCCCTCCTCTCCAAGAACTCCGAATTCTCCTTCCAAACCTCCCCATTCGTGTACACCTCTTTCTTCCATATCGGGACCGAAGCCTTCACCTCGTCAATCACAAACTTACACGCGTCGAGGGAGTCCGACCGGTGCACGGACGAGACTGCGATGAACACACTCACCTCCCCAACCGGGACGGGGCCCACACGGTGCGCCACAGCCAATGAGTGTAGGTCCCATGAAGCCCGAGCCGAGGTGCATATTGATTTGATGCAACGTATGGCCATGGGGATGTACGCCTCGTACCTCAGCTCCAACACGGTCTTCCCATCAAAAGTGTCGCGGGTCGTGCCAAAAAAAGTCGCGATGGCCCCACATTGTGGGGATTGGACAAAATTTATGTACTTGTTCGTGTCTATAGGGATATTTTCATCCAATATCTCAATTAAATCCTTTTCGTTGTCCGTCATTGGTTTGGGGCCACAACTGCAGAATTTTATGAAAGATAAACCCTCGACTTTTGAAGATAAAATGTTTGGTGTTTAGAGTATGCAAGTATCACTAATTTATTACTCTATACTAAGAGAACAAAATTTGATGCAATACTAATATTTTGCAAAATTTAGATCGATCAAACTTCTGTGGTGTGTTGATAGATAGTCCACATGATAAGCAACTCGAGCTCGGTTTTTAGCGAATGAGCCCGTAAAACATAGTTGGTTGGTAAAAAAGATGATCTTGATTGGTATAAGTTACACTTCTCATTACTCCAATGAGTTTTTACATAAACCATACATCTGCAAAAATCAAGGTATGAAGAGAGCCAACATCTATGTATGTCAACAACTTTAAATCATTTCCACCTACACAAACAAGACGGTGCAAATTTCAATTATACACAACAACTGACACGACACGAGTAGACGCTTATTTGCATACGACAAGTACCTTATCTACACCGAATCATAGTTCCAGACATCAAGAGCAGGAAAATCAATCAAGATTCGGCATTTAGGTCGAATAAAATGAAGAGTAAAAGGGCTAAAACTGTTAGTTTCATGTGAAGCAAACACTCAAACACCATAAATGCATCAACTTTCACGCAAACAACCCACAGATAAGCACTCAGTTCATATATGTCGGCAAGATAAAAAAATCCTGCAGCCAAAGCCAAAAGGTACAAACTGAATCCTGATTCATATATGATGACTTTTTTTTTTCATTTAAAGAGTTCCCCACCATAAAATATAAAATGGAATTCTGAAGGTCTG